CTACTCAGCCAAACCTTTCAAAAAGAGATATGTGACTGTTGGATGAGACAGAGGACTGCACGTTTGAGTACAAAGTCTCGGTGGGATTGGTTCCAAAAACGTTATTCCACCCTTTCAATCACAGCGGCAAAAATCTCTAGAAAGCTCGCGTCCATAAGGAATCAAAGGAGGCAATCTCTAGAAATTGGCTCAGTGATTCAATGACAAAACATTTCTTTGCCCAAATTAAGGCCAACTCAAGAGCTAACACAATAGAAGGTTTGAGACCTACAACGGCCTCGAAAACAGTGACATCAGACAGCGAAGGGATGTTAGAAATAGCCAAAAACTTCTATAAGGACCTCTATCACTCAAAGACCCCTACACCAGCACCTCCCAACACAAAGGAGGCAAGACAAAAAATGCTTCAATATATGGAACAAACAATAACAGCCGAACAAGCCAAGGCACTAGACAAACCGATTACGATTGATGAGTTACGCCAAACCTTACTAGGCATGAACAGCGGTAAGACCCCTGGGATCGACGGATTAACGAAAGAATTTTGGGAAAAGTTCTAGCCCTTTTTAGGAGTGGACTTGCTAAACTATTACAACGGCAGCTGGACTAAGGAGGGGCTCGGCAACCTACTGAGCAGTAGTGTGATCACACTACTTTATAAAAAAAGCGACAAAGAAGACATTAAAAACTATAGGCCAATCTCACTTCTAACACTTCCATATAAAATCCTGGCGAAGACCCTCTCTAATCGACTCGCCCAAATCACAAATAAATGCTTCCACATTGATCAGACAGACTTCTTCCCGGGTTGATACATTCTAGATAATGTACTAACACTAAATGAGACAATAAGAAAGATTAGGGAGAGGAAAATAAATGCTGCAATACTTTTTTTCGATTTTAAAAAGGCCTACGATCAAGTTAACTGGGATTTCATGGAAGCCAGCATGGAAAAAATGGGAGTCGGACCCAATTTCAAAAAATGGAGCCAAATACTATACAAAAATGGAACGGTTTGTGTCCAAGTCAACGGCCTGCTGTCGAACTGCTACCCAATTTCCCGCTCAGTCCGACAAGGGGATCCATTGGCCCCGTCAATCTTTTTGTTCGTAATGGAAGCTACTGCACCATTTCTACGCAAGGACCCATTAATTCAAAGACTCTCTAGCACCAACATAGGCTCAACTCACCAAATAGATTTCCCCCCAGCTATCATGTTTGCGGACGACCTAACTGTCTTGATTAGAGCTACCGATTCGTCGTTCAGAACTCTGGCTAAAGCAATGGAAGCCTTCAGATTGGCCTCAGAAATGAAGATCAATTGGGGGAAGACAATAGGATGGTGGCTATCAGATGAGGACCCCCTGCTATTACAAGGAGAGGAAGCAACTATGGCCTGGGAGACGCTAGATACCCCCACCCGGTACCTTGGTGTACTCATGACGAGAGAAGGTCTAGCGCCCTAAATGGGCCAGAACATGCTGACCAAACAAATCAACAAATTAGAAAGATGGGGCAATAACTTCACGTCCCTCATTGGTCGATCCCTGGTCCTTAATACTTCGGTCTTCTCAATGATGTGGTACTTGGCCTCCCTCTGGACTGTCCCGGACAATTCCATCAAAGAACTGAACCGAAAAGCCAGGTCATATCTATGGTCAGGAGACCCCAACAAGGAGAACAACATATCTAAAATTGCATGGCACTATGTCACGAGGAGCCCGCTAAAGGGAGGTCTAGGGATTATAGATCCCGGAACAGAAACAAAAGCCCTGCAGATTAAGTGGATTATTAAACTTCTGATGAACCCAAACAGCACATGGCATAAACTAGCCCTGGATAGCATCAGATCACTAGCCCCGGTGCCCTCTCCAGAGGATATGTCAAGACTGTTCTGGGTAATGAATAAAGACTGGATCATAGCCACGGGGCAAAATAAATCGAACGAGGGACACCAGATTAGAGAACTATAGGCCTGATACCCCATACTGGACGTCTCTACTTCGAATCTGGAGAAAAATAATCCCTAACAAGTCCAACAGACCTAGATCCAAGGATGAAGTACTAAGACAACCGCTCTTGGGGGACCAATGGGTGACACATGAGGGCGACAACCCCCTTTTCTTAGAACAAAAGTGGCTCTCCTGCGTCAAAAACGGCATATGGAAAGTCGCCCACATATGGAATGAGGACAAGAAAGAATGGAAGATAGAACAGGAAACCAGTTCCCAACTGAAAGGATGCCACAAGCGAGGACCCAATCTTCGGTACATTGTCAGCCTTATTCCACAGGAATGAAAAGATATCTTGACGGAAGCCGCTCCATAAAAATCCGAAGAATGGGGATTTAAGATACAAGAAATGACTACCTCGAGAGCCTTCCAGTTCTCTCACATGCAACAAGATTCGCACACCAAGGCCACCTTCCTCTCCTTCCCAATCTCCACGACTGCTACCAGTATGCCGATTATCCTGAATAACAATGTTGAGTCGGTAGTCTTGGACTCCTTCCTACTCAGGAAGATAAGGGTCATTGGCTCTTGGCCCAAGTCAATCTTTAGACCGGACACAACAATCCGTAACTTGGAGTTTGACACAGCTGGATGGGCATGGATGCCGGACAAGACTAAAAACATCAAATCCAAAACCCCAATTCAAGAGTATACAGTCAAACTAGGTTACAGACTGTCACTGAAAACCAAAGACCCTGACCCTATCATTAAAAAAAGATGGCACGATCTACTGGGCCAAGAGGGAGACAATCTCACATAGATCCAATGGAAAAAGTTCAGCCTCATCAGACCAATAAAAATCAGAAGCTTACAATGGCTAGTCGCCTACGCGACATTACCAATGAACCAATGGCTACACATGAGGCGTAAGAGTTCAGATCCCAGCAGTTCGCACTTGTGCGCGGTCTGTAATGAAGGGGCGGTAGAAGACATAGTTCACAGCCTAATACATTGCAGAGAGGCGACAGACTACTGGGCACGAGCATCGGTACTCTGGGACTCCCTATTCCCAACTCCCTTCCCCGAACATCCCATCCAACTTCTCCTCTTGACTAACATCCCTCAACAGCTCCGGAAGACATAAAAAATCTGGTTTGGTCTCATCAGAAAGGTTACATTATGGGTCATATGGAAGGAAAGATGCAGCAGATGATTGAAGGACTGTCCAACCCACGCGAGAAAGTTTGGGTGGAGACGAAAACGATGATACAAGCTGAATCCTCTGCAGATGGAGGAAGACCAAGCAGTCATGGACGGAGGACGAGGAACAGCGAAAGAAGGACAGATGGACCTTCAGCAAGAATTGGTTGATAAACGGCAAGATTGCAGAGTTACGAGAAGACCGCATTTGCTGGAAGGAGTGCCACAACTCAACCCCAGGAAGGAGGAACCAGCAACAGACAACTACGGGTGGACAAGACATTCCATGATCAGACATCCAAGAGGAGGGAATAAGATGAAAGTAAGGGTCCCATAGAGCAGGATAGTAATCGAGGGTTTAGGGATTAAGGGTTTAAGGGATTCTCAGAGAGGGCAGAGAAATTTCGGACAAGGGTCAGGATGACTTTTGGGCAAGGATGGACAAGGCAAGACTGTCCCTACCAGACGAGGACGAGCAACAGCGCACAGTACAGTTGAAGTTTACCAAGACCTGGCTGATCGAAGGAAAGTTGCAGAGATAAAGATCTTTCATGTCCGGTGGACGGACTGGCGCAACTCATACGATGTTAGGAGAAAACCAAACAGCCCCGACACAGACAACAGTGTCCTAGGCTGAGCAACAGAGATACCAAGCCGGTTTTTTGGAAAGGAAGGAGACTCAGATTAGTGACTGGAGCAAGANGTCCTAGGCTGAGCAACAGAGATACCAAGCCGGTTTTTTGGAAAGGAAGGAGACTCAGATTAGTGACTGGAGCAAGATCCTACCACTTTCTCTCGTTTYGAATAGGTCCTTTTGACAGGCCCAAGAAGGGAACCTGAGAGGAGCAAGTTGTTAGGGCAAGCTGACAGTCAATCCTCCCTCAAGGGAGCAATCAATGCTGCTCAGGGGTCCTTCARCCATATGGAAGGAAGYGTGAGTGTGYTTMATGATGTAATATTCCTTTATGACTTGCCGGGGGAATAGGAACCGGACTGATGCTCCCCAGAATGGAAAAGGAGCCAGGCCCATAAGGACCTGTTTTTTGTAACAACAACAAAAAAAAAACAAAGTTCATGGGAGTAATTACTCTCTGTGTGTGAATTTCCACGTGTCTCCTTCTTCCTCCCCTTCCTATCTCGTAAGTATGTCCCACGACCATGTGAATTCCACTTTCTCTCTTCCTTCTTCCTCCCCTTTCTATCTCATAAGTGTGTCCCACAGCCATCTGAATTCCACTCTCTCTCTTCCTTCTTCCCCTCCACCTCTCAAGTGCCCTGCCATCATGGTCCACTTGCACTCTGCCGTACCTCCACCCACCCAGCCCTTTTATCCATGTCACCTATCTCCCTCCATCTCGCTAGCAAACACACGGAGCAAACTTGCAGTCTGCACAGATATTGCAACGGAACAATAGGTATTGATCACGTGATATGCACTCCCCTTAGACTGTTTCTTGTGAAAGCCGCAAAAGATAGAAGCGTACAAATTCTACAGAACCTTCCACCAGAGATGGCATGCGGGTTCTAAAAGGTCGTTCCTAGAAACTGCTGGCTTCTCTCCTCGTCCTCTTCCTCCCCTCTACTTATCATTGTAAAATTCTAGTTGCGCCCAGCTTCATAGGTTGTGCCCGGCCCCGTCCACTTGGTGTGCCTCTTCCCGCTACCTGTGTCCTCATACTTGTTCCAAATTTAGCACTTGGCGGACCGGTCAATGCATTACCCAGCATACTTTCAAGGGAGACTTCCCCACTGGTCTGCTTTGGAAGTTGCACATGCTGACCTACTCTGACTGATGCTGTTGCAGGCAGGCTGTCAGATGATCCCTCATGATTATGCGTCATTGCGTTCAACGGTTTCACTGCCGAGACAGGTTTTGGAGCAGCAATTGCTGCCCACAGATCATCATCGTCCTCGTCCTTCTTCCTCGTCCTTCTTCCTCGGCATGCCGCCACTGCTGGTGCTTCTGATTGCTCCATCTGAGACCTGTGACCGCATTGCGCCCCCCCCAGCAACCAATGCTCCCTCAGCTGTCCCAGTTCCTCCCACATCTACCTTCCGTGTCGGATTGGAAGACGTTGATGACATCACTCTACTACTTTGGGGCATTTGAGAGAAGCGTGGTGCCGAGCTAGCAGCAGCTGGTGGAGGAGGGGTAGCAGCACGTGGAACAGCTGAGGGTGCTGGATCTTCCAGTGTGTCTAGGTCAGCCCATCCCCCATCGTCATCCCCATCATCTGGCATTGCATCATCTGGGGTGGCCCAGCCATCGTCCATGGATTTTGGCGACGCCGTTTGACCAGATGGCTCGGGCGTGTGTGGCGCGATTTGCAAGGAGATGCGGGGCCCTTCTGCAACTTGCAATGCCGTGGCCGATGATGGAGCTGGACCTGCACTCTCATCTGTCCTCCGTACCGGTGGCACAGTCGAAGATGGACTCTGCGAGACCGTTTCAGCAGCAGCAGGCTTAGTTGAACCCCCTCCCAACTTCAACGAACTCACTGCCCACCCTATGAGCGCAGAGGATGACGATTGCACTGCAGAAGTGCCCACGGAGCCCAAATCTCCAGCCTCAACCCTTGCCCAGAACTCCTTCACCCTCTCTAGAAACATGGAGATGCACTGGAATGACTTGCCTCTCACATCTGAATCAGGATCCATAGCCAGAACGATAACGCTTGGTAAGATCCTTGTGGCCACCTCCACGACGTCGTAGCACTCAGCCGTCACGATCAATGCCATGAACTGGTCCCGTAAAGCCCTGGTGAAGGCATTGACAAGAACCCGTTTCCGCGTTGCCTCGTTGAGATACCTAGCAATGTTTCCCAGCAGTATCGTCGTGTTTGTGCGAATGGCTGCCTCCTCATCGACCTGCAGTTTGGAAAGATGCTTCAATAGCGTCCCGGTGAGATTTCTCTGCGACAACTTTGGTGCCACTGCTAGCATCGATTTCACCGTCAACTCCCTTAGAAAAGCTGACGAGTCTGAGAATCCCGAAGTTAGCTGGGGGAAAACCTGCTCGTCAACTACATTGGCAGCTAGAGCAGGTGCGAACGTGTCCATGTGCTGCAACGAACCAATTCGTATTGCGCGGTCCTGAGACGAAAACAGCTTAGTAATAATTGGAATTACCTTCACTTTGAAATCCTCCGGCGACAGAAAGGAACCTATCTTGAGGAGGGAGTTGAGCCCGACCGAGGTGGCAGACCCAAACTCCAGAGCTGAAGCTATCAATGGCAGAATCTTACGGACGGCTATCCCCTGGGGAAGCGTTTCTACAACGGTCGGCAACTTCCTGAAAAAGCTGTCCTTGTCGACACCATCCTTCAAGTTCAGCACCTCTAAAAACTGTATGGTCTCGACTAATTTATTCTGGAAGAACGCGCTCTCCGTGAGCTTGGACGGATTCAGTCATCTCATTGGGGAAGATCCTAAGAGCCTCTGGTACTCGGGGAGAAGGGTGCCCGGAATGACAGAAGTGCTCCGAAGATCCTCTGCTCGCTTCAACTGCGTGGCACTGAACAGT